GCCAACTTGAGACATCTGTGGCGCCGTCGCGACATCCGGTTGTCTGTGAAAGGTTGAGTGTATACCGCTACAGTTCGGTCAGTTCTATACGGCGCAGAAACTTGGCCATTAAGAAAACAGGATAAAGATAGACTGTCGGTGTTTCAACACCGCTGTCTACGCAGTATTGCACAAATCTGGTGGGGCAACCGGACGAGCAATTCCGAGGTTAGACGCAGAGTTTTGGATAACCGCGGTCGCCCACTGGAGCAAGTGGTATACCACCATAGATTACGTTGGCTGGGACATGTGTTACGCATGTCACCAAATAAGTTGCCACGGCGAGCGATGTTCGCCGAGGCGGGTAGTGGGTGGAATAAAGCCCAGGGTGGTCAAGCTAAGACCTGGCATGAGGGTATGAAAACCCTGACCTGGGGTCTGGGTCACATAGGTCCCGTTAGGCTCTCGGGATGATCATACCCGATGGTTAGAGACACTGCGTGATATGGCTGAGTGTCGTAAACAGTGGTGNACCGGGGCGGCATGGCGACCCTCTTCCAACTTATTCGATCAGCATCGGGCAAGAAACAGGTCACCCACTTTGCTGCACAGTACCTCCGGTGAGCTGATTTCTGATGCGCAGGGAAAAATGTCTCGATGGATGGAACACTTTAGTCTTCTTCTCAATCGCCCTTGAGGGCGATTGAGAAATCCAACTTCCGTATGCGCCCTCCTCGCCATCTCTATACGAAGCTAACTGCGCTCCGCCATCAGTAGAAGTCTCAGATATCATCAGCCATCTCAAGCCACGGAAATCTCCCCGTGAACACGGGATATGTGCTGGGTGTGATATGGCTCGGTGTCGTGAACAGTGGTGTTCGTGCATCTCAATTTCTCTTTATCATTAGTCCACTGAACTTTTCAATTTTCTCTTCGATCCTACTTTCAACTTTTCCTGTGGTTCTCCTAATGTTTATCCAAATGGACAGCCGAAAGATAGCAACTAAAACCGGCGCACGATAGTGCATGGTTAGTGGTTGTACAAACCGAAACTAAAACTATTCTTAAATTTTAAAGAGTGCCATTTAGTGATGTGTATACATGTGTTCACTGTAGCGCATTGTCATATTGGATAATTAAGCCACTTTTTAGGTGCTGCTTAATGCCGATGATGATAAATTTCGGTTTTCTTTTTCTAAGCCTTTGCGTTCATTTTTCAGTGGTGATCATTCAATGATATAAGAGTTTATCTTCATAGTATTCACGTTTCCTCTGTTTACCAGAAAATCAGAGTAGAGAATGGACAATCTTTTGATCCGATTTACCACCACCACCAAATACCCACTCAACTCGGTCTTTCGATAGAATCCACGTTTGTCCCTTAGCATGAGTTTTGTAACTCAGCTTTCGCTAACGTGGTTCTATCAAAACTACCTTTGGTGCTAATTTTGAAATTTAATTGATGTAAATGTTAAACTGTTAGCGTTAGACTCAATAGGCAGTATCTGAATAAATTTAGGAAAAATTGACTATTCAATGTAATTTTGTCAAGAATTATATTTGTTCCATGCTACCGGGCTATGAATCGTAATCGGTTGTGGGTGATATTCTTATAAGGCATGCAAAGGTTTCAATGTTCAATTGGTTTGCTTTCGCTACTGCTCATTCGGTAAAATCGCATCTTTATTCAAACCCCAGTACTTCACGTTTCGTGCTTACATTTTCGCAGGTTCAAAAGCTCTCCAAAGGTGAAGTGCTCATGGTCAACATTGGCTCGCTGTCTAGCGGAGGTCATGTGATTGCTGTCAAAGGTGATCTAACGAAGATTGCCCTTAACAGTCCCGTATGCACTGAAATTGGTGAAAAGATAGCTCTAAGTCGGCGTGTTGAGCGCCATTGGCGGTGAGTGCATATTACAGAAAAAGCGAATGCGGCATATACTCTTTCTTCGTTATTTGGTGTTAGTTTTAACTTCATATTCTATTTACTTTTTAGTAGTAATTAGTGTGGATAGAAATTTGTCGGGTGCACTTGCTCTTTTGTCAAATTTTTTACTCGTTTTCCTACCAAGTGTTCCGTCGACCAACTTTGTTACGTTTAAAATAGTAAAAAAATGCAAGTAGTTCATTTTTTATTTGAAATTTCTTGAATAAAACCGATATATATATATATATATATTTCACACACGTCTGAGTTCAGACCGTGCCAAACAAATGGCGGTACAATAATCCTTATAAAAAGGAAATCGTTCCACAATTTGCATGTAGGCTGAATACTGCCAGGCTACCCAGGCTAAGGCAGGTGAATTTTCTTGGGAATCCACAACCGGGGCTTTCGGCTGACTAGAGCCGGACCCTCAAGGCATCGGGGCAATGTGTGAAAATCGCATTCCATTGGGAGCCGGTGTCCAGTTCATCGGATCAGACGCCCTTCGGACGTGGGCAAACTTCCAAATTCTTCTACCATTCGCTTTACACTTCGGGATTGGTCCGAGTATGCTTCCTGACGTCAAACAGTTAAATGAAAACTAGCGACAACAGTGAAAGATGCCGTTTTTTGCAGTACTTCATCACATCTGGAACTTATTTAACCATATTATAAATTAAATTATAAATCCTGGGACAAAACCTGTAACCTTTTTGTTACACACCTTTGTGTGGTGAATGGCGGACGGAGTCAGCCTCATAGCCATGAGAACCTACTACTCATTCGTGGAAACCGGAAGGTGGAGTGGGGAACTACATAAGGCCCCGCTGGATTAGGTGTGGTGTTGAGCTGCACGGCATAGAAGCTTCTTACCACCAAAGTTCAGTGTCACTGCCGAGATTCCAACCTCGGACATTAGGACCCAAAGCTCATCTTTGACTACAACCACCACCAGCCCAAAGTTCCAGTGTACTGGTGAAGAACATTCATGCTGAAGCTGTTTTTTGTGTGAAAGCATGAATTTTGAGTAATTGGAAATATGGAGTTCTTGCAAACAGAAACCATGATGGTGACAGAAGGGAAAGTGTAAATCAGCAAGATGGCGATGAATAAAATCAGTGTTGGATCACCGATTAATCAGTGGTTGACCTTGAGTTGAATGCAATCAAATAATCTGGTGACCAGCAGATCAAAAAGTATGATCATGTAAAACTAGTGCGAGCGATTATTATTCCATTGTAATGGACACTTGTCAGCGATCTGGCTCCACTGAGACTGGGAAAGAAGTTAGTTTGAATTCGGTTAGTTATTTAACATTTGCTCGACAGAGATAATGCACAGCTTACGAATGGAAATGCACTAAGGGCATGAACGAACTACTGATGTGCCAGTTGGCACGAACTGCAGTACAGCTTGAACACTAAGTAAAAAATTTCTGTTTTTAACATTAGTAAACTATTGACCGATCTGCCCATCATGATCGGGCTGGGCAACAAATAAATTCAATGCCGGTATCCAGGGATTGCGATATATCAACTCCGAGAATATTAAGTCCTCTTATGCAGGTTTAGTACTTTTTATTTGTTTCACCTCAGAGAACGACGCGATGAAGTAGTCCGATGCTGCCTCTGCAACTTTCAATTCTAAATCGCTGCATCAATGTGATGAAATCAATAAACAATGTTGCTATCACAATATACGTTAGGTTGTTTGTTGATGAACCGAATATGACTTTCATCGGTAAGAAGCACTTTTAATCTTCGTTTACACTTTGATCGTAACCGCATTTTTTTCTTGTATTGGTGTCATATCTTAACTGTTATTCATTGCTTTATTTTACAGGTTGATTGGATGGGGTAAGATTCTTCGCGGTGTTGCCATCCAACCTGTTCAGTGATCCATTGTAAACAATAACCTGTGTTCCAAAGTCGGATAAGTTACGGGCCTCCTCGTCACTGAAATTTGGATACGCGTCTTCTGTACCGCGAAGTTCTAAATGTCTACCGTCATTCATGACTAACCGTTCCAAGATGTTTCCATGATCGCTCCCTTCCTCTCATCTGTCTGCGCGCTTTTCTAGTGGTTTTCTAACCCTTATTTCTGCCCCTGGGTGCCAACTTTCACTTTGCCGCCGTCTTGTTGGAGTTGAATGACGAACGCGATTTCTATCCCAGTATCTGTGAATTCATAATCTGGTCACCGATGTCAGTCCAATCCATACGCATTGCAACAGTTCATCTTTTCATGCCAACCGTCCATCCCATCCCCTTCGACGGTCCTTCCCGAAACCCATTGATCAATACCGCATCTTTTGAGGAAAGGTTTCATGTATGATGGTTACATCCGTTAATCTGGAATATCCTATCTATTTTTGGAATCAATATTACTGCTATTATCCGCTCTGGAGCCTATACATCGGGCGAATAAGTGCCGCATATCGGTCTATCTGTTTGATGAACTGTTGCGTCATTTATTCCATTATACGCTATGTGGCCGGGTCCCGCTTATTGTATCTGGTTAGTATCAGGGTATGAGCTTTATAACTAGACAAATTTCAGGACGTCGTAAGAACCGTCCGTCACGTTTCCTAATCATTCGTCTATCGTTCACAACCTATATTTTCTGTTTCAGTTGGTTCATTGAGCTCATCCTGGTGATCAGAACGATCACTGAGCATTGGATTATGCCAGAACTGTTCCACTATCTTCAACGGCACTTTCATAAAACCTGAAAGCAGACTTGCTTTCACTGTAGTATGAAACAGCGTATCAGGTGCGAGGTGCCACCCATTGTTTGCCATTCACCTCAGCGAGTTTCCCATTCAGAAACTTAATGTTTAGGTCAATTATAAAATACTGGGTGTTGATACTAGATGCATCTTTTTTCAGTTGGTTGCATTAAGTGCATTCAGGGAGTGCGAAGCACTGTTCAAGACGCCCAACGTTATTGGGAGATAGCATTCTGTTGGCTAACTACAATGCCGCTAATGTTTCTTCGTGAAAATACAAGGATTCAGTATGATTTTTCTAGATCAATAAAGACTAAATCAGGCTTACGGTTTGTTCAGTCTAGTGTTCAAAAGTTTTGGAACAGCGAGCAATGCTTTTCCATGTGTGAATCGAGGACTTATCTCATTTTTAAACCGTTATTGCTATACCTTCCTTAGAAAGAGGGAACAAGATCGCGGTTAATATTTTCAACATGTGATTGCGATTTTGTAGGAGTGCTGAATTTTTTCCCCGAAGGAAATTGCTTCTCATACAATGGCAGTGTTACGACAATAATTACCAAAAAGCCCAGGTTTCTTGACATTCTGCGGACCTATCAGGTTCATCTAATTTGAACTTTTCCATCTTTTTCCACGTAGTTTGGTCTTCTGTGCACTCCATTATTACCCGCGCGAGATCCCGAGTTTACAGAATACTAACTTGTTAGATTGGTTCGTTTTGATTGCTAGACTACGCCAATCATCCCCACCACCTTGCGCTATCGCTCGTGATATGAGGACATTGAACCTCGAGTCATAATCCATTTCCCGGAATGTGTACTTCATGGATTTGAAAGCCCTTTGAGATCACCGTTGCTCGCTATTCACCTGAGATTACCCTCTATCGCAGAGAATAATATGGAAAACAATATTCACTCGTTCACGTACAAGGTTTCCCGACGGGACTATACACTTTTACATGGTGTGATGGCTTGTACACATCTCTGACCCAACGAGCTACACAGAGTGGTTTTTGCCAAGCCGCCCATCAAATTATGTCTGGAAGGTCAATGGGTAGAGGTCAGACAAAGTTCAGTCTCCAGGTTGGGGGTTCGACTCGAGTTGGCGTCTCAGTCGGTAAAATGATAGTGGAGTAATAAATCCAAGTAAATTGGCATCTATTTCGCTTTACCCGCTGCCTTGTGATCAGGTTCTTGTTAGAACTAAATGCTTTGGACGAGAACCCTAATCGTTCTCCTGCTTAGTGGCTGGACACCCTAGCAGTGCCCGTCCGTCAAACTTGAATGCATACACAAACAAAAATAATTCCATACTGCGTCGGTCGCCAGGACTGTGCTGCCCATTGCATCGAACGTGGTGATTAGTGATAAGTGGGCTACTGCTCAGATTTCCCAACCTTTGCTTAACTCTATCTTTCGTACTGACCCTTTCCCTTTACCCCTTCTTCCAACCCCGTAACATTCCCTCAGACAATTTGTTCGTCACTTGCTAAAGTTCGTCTCCAAGTAGCCCGGTAATTAGTTTACCACCAAATAGGTTGCATATTCTGAAGCCATGTCCAACTCTGAATCTGTGGGCCTTCAACATGAGG